TCGTTGTGGGGTTGATCCCGACATCCGCAAAATACGATGCCGAAGACCGATATTCCACCGTGGCGAAACAGGAGCACCAGAGTAGAAGAACAAGGCAGATTCTTTTTACATTGTTCACATAAACCGAGTAAACGTGGTAGTGTTTTTGTCGGCTGCAAGAGATGATTGAAAATCTCTATAAATATGCATAAAGCAGTGATTAGACCGATGTGCTGTGCTGTCACTATGATAGTCATTCAGATACATATTGGATTATGAAGACCGATTTTAAACTGGAGACTCCATGCTAATTATGTGTTTGATATAGTATACATGTATAATGTTTTGTGCACTGCCATTAGAAATATGACATGGTACATTGGCGTGACTCCACTCAGTAATAGTGGTTTGGAGGATACAGTGCCTCCTTCTGCTGGTTCAAATCCTTCACCAGTAATTTCTATTGAACAGATTTACATTGGAAAGAAGCAGCTGGCTCTCAGTAACTTGTTTATTAGCTACATCCAACACTACGTGATAACGCTAGATTCCCATTTGATTTTCTTAAGACATTGTGATTAAGAAGAATACGCCTGCATTAAAGCCTCAAATTATTTGGTGTTTTGAGGCTAAGGAGTATTTTTATTTTCTGAATTTCTTTATTTTAAACCGAGGGGCACTTTTGTGCTGTCTGTTTAGATAAGCATTGTGAAATTATTTCAGGCTACAAAATGTGACATTTCTTTGAAAATATGACTAGTGTTGGAAAGAGTTTTTTTTTTTACACCTTTCTCTAATCTTCCTTGCTTGCTGAGTAGCATTGACATCAGTAGTACATCAATTTCAGAAAGTGGATTTTTTTTCTTTCTTTTTTTATGAGACAGCTATTGTGACATATTGGGTCAGTCAGAAATGAAAGATATTCATGCAAGCATGCAATACTTATAATGAAGTCTCAGTCTGACCTTCTGTATGATTGATTCTGTAATTTAGTTTTCTCAGGCAGTGCCTGAAATGAAATGAAATCATGTTGAACAAGTTTTAAATACCCACAGTGCACCAGGAGAAATGGGAGAAAAAACAGCAACCCTGTAGGCTAGAGAAAAAGGGAAGGGGGGGAGGAATTGGGATTGGGGTGGTGGGGGGAGGGAAAAAAGGAAGAAGGGGGTTGGGGATAACGAAAAAGATGGGGGGGGGGAGGAGTACTGAGAGAGCGAGAGAGAAAAGAGAGAGAAACTATTTATCTTCATGGTATTATAGCCTTTGCCAGCATTCAAAATTTCATTTTTTTCGTATTTGGCTTAAGTACTTCATTCTGCAGGTAGCTGTAAATAGAGAAAATAAAATAGTGTTCCTGCTTTAAAGCAACAGTGCAGGAATATGTGCAGGGGACTGATAAACTATCTTTAATAGGACTGACCTTTCATGCTGGTGGGAGTTACTGGGGGGACTCAACCTCATAATTACCATATAGATTATTTTATTCCTCTCCTGCAATGAAACATTTCGAAGAGCTGCACTGCTGACTGAATGGAAATTGAACTTGTTAGCATTCTTTTCAGCCTGTTATATCTGGCACAGTGTCGCCGCTAATAAATTCTTTCCCAAAATTCTGGTTCTGATATCTGTAGAGCCAGATTGGGGCTGCTTTTATTCAGATAGATTCACATGTTGCCCCGCGCATATTCTAATACTGTAATGCCAGGCTTTGCTCTTGCTTCTACTTTCATTTCTCGGCGTCCTGCGGGGGTTACGTAGGGGTGTGTTAGGGTATTATTGCTGCTTACGCCTTGTTCAGAAGCTTTGTTGGAGGACATGGAGGTAATGGGGTCTCACAAAACAGTAATTTATCATACAGCTCAGGGCACGTGCTACGTGTTGGCCATTCATTGAATATTGAAGTATTTGGTTGCCGACTTCTTGGTAGAATTCGAGATCACAATCGCGAGCGGAATGCCCCAGCTCTCTCTGCAGCCCCCGGATTTGTCCCGCTGGCGTGCGGTGGCCCCGGACAGCACGAGCGGCGGTGATTGAGGGTGAGGAAACCCTGCAGTGTAACATTGCAGTGTTAAGGGCAGAGCGGTGGCTCTGTGGCTCAGGATCTGCGCCTGTGGCTGGAAGGTTGCCGGTTCAAATCCCGCGGCCGGCAGAGGAATCCTACTCCATTGGGCCCCTGAGCAAGGCTCTTAACCCCAACTGCTCAAGGGGCGCCGTACAATGGCCGACCCTGCGCTCTGACCCCCAGCTTCTCTCTCCCTGTCTGTGTGTCTGTGTCTCCATGGAGAAAAGGCTGGGGTATGCGAAAAGACGAATTCCTAATGCAAGAAATTGTATAGATCTAATAAAGAAACATTATCATTATCATTATTATCATTATTATTGCACTACAGGCGAAATGGGGTCAATACTATGGGCACCATGAGAATCCCTGTCCACTGAATCTTCTTTCTACCTAAATTTTAAACACCGAGACATCTTGTTTACAAGTGCTCATCTAGTCATCTAGTCCTTCCGTACATTGTTCAATGGTTAACACAAGCATGAGATGTTACTCAAAAAGCAAATGTTATTCATTACGTTTTCAGAAATTTTCATGTTTTTTTTATTAATTCAGTTACACCTAATACGGTATTTACTTTTGTACAGCACGCTCACCGTGTGGGGAGAATATCATATATGTCACAGTTATTCAGAATAACCAAGGAATGTGGAGTATGACTGAGTGAGACTTTACTGTAGCAATTAATTATTTATTAAATGCTCATAAATATAGAAAATGAAGTGGTCTATAGCTAATAGGTAATTTGCAAATGGAGCTACTGTAAATTATTTTTACACAGGAGAAAAAATCTTCTGTCTCAATTTCAGTAGCTAGTTATCCTTTAAAGAGACTAATCAATTCTATTTGGCCTGTATTCCATGGTGAGGGTTATAATATCTGCTTTGCATGAGTGTAGAATAAACCAGAACAAAATTGTGGTTATGATGTTACGTTTTTTTTCCTAAGGTCCTGCTTCTGTGATTACTTTTACTAGTAATAATAATTGATGTTAACACAAATATTAATAACCTTACTGGAAAAAAAAAACATTAATTTCTTTCTTTGTTTCTTTCAAATGTTTTCATTATCCAAAAGTATCCGTTATCTATTATCTAGAAGTATGAATACTGCTGGTGGAAGATGGAAGGACTAATGGTTTTCAGGTCTGCTAAGGGATGTTAAAAACCGATTTATTTAAATAAGTGATCTGACATTGCCTGCCTAAATGGGGAGTTATTTTCCATTCCTGGTTTCTGCACAGGAGTGATCAACGGACTTGAAAACTCTAGACCTTTTCAGATTGCTGTTGCATTATTGGTTTACAGAAACTACGTGATTGTGTCACTGTTCTCAGCAGAATTCTGCCTTTGGGATCATGTGAAAGGATTATTATATAGATATCAATAGCTATCGATTAAATGATGAAAGAGAACGGTGAACTACTGTTTGAACATAAGATGTATCCTATGAGTGTTCCTGTGCCTTGTGTTCTGCTTCCCAGCTCATCATGTTGCTTCTCGGTGCATCTTTGATGTCCTCCATACCTAGATCCATTTTGCAGCATTGTGAGGAAGATGAGAAAGATTTGACTAAAGACCCTGCAGCAGCCTTTGGTCTTAGATTTTCAGATTGAATGCTGTGTGACAACATACGTTTAGCAGCAGAAGTATTTTACAATAGCCAGTGGAGCATTTATAACATTTGGGTTGTTCATAAAGAATGACTTATGCTTTCAATTTTAGAGTTATAAATTTTAGAGTCAATTTTTAGCCCTTTTAACCCTTGCAGGATGTTGGCTGTAGAGAATTGAATGATTACAATAATGTACTGTTTGCGTTTAAGTGAAATGTGAGAAACGCAAAGGAGAAGTGGAATTCTAAAATCGATTCATGTTCTAAAGTCAGCGTTGCAATCATCGTACAAGAGCACACAGCTGTTGGTTCATAAGAGCTGTGCAGTAAGAAATCTGTACTATGGAAAAACAAAGAACACGGAGGCAGAAAAATCAATATTGCCTTTTTCGAGAAAAAAAAGATGTATGGAATTCAGAATTAAATAAGGGGTTCGTGGGTCTTTTTAATAAAGCTTGTTGCATGAGCTCCTGATATTACAATGAAATTTGAAGAGATTGAGTTTATGCAGCTGAAAACCTGATGGATGTGTTCAGGGAGAACAAATCGCTTTCTCATTGTATTCAGTTATTTCGCACAGTTCCTTGTCAGCATTTGATTCTTCTTGATCAGTCTTCCTTCTGTTGGAATGGCAGTGGCTGTAACTTGTGTTCCAGCGCAGTCAATGCAAACAATTTTACTGTATTTTCCATAAAGGCTTTTCCGGATGAATTGTTACATCTGCGTGCTGTTAAGAAAAGAAATGAGGCTGGTAGATGAGGCAGCGAAAGATAAGAATGTGTCATCATTCAGTTCTTATCCCTGTGTCTTGTTACTTACATGTGTACAAATATTTTCAATGTATATTTAAAATTTTGGATTTTGTATCCAGGGGTACACAGCTCCAGTCCTAGATTGGTCACCAAATCTGCGGCTTTCTTTCCATCTGTGTTCTTAATGTCTTAATCGAGCTGGTCATTAGCTTAATAGGACCAATTTTAACACTTTTCAATGGGTTTTCAGAAGTAAATTTTTTAAAGATACCTGGCAATTCTGAAGGATTCTGACCCTCAAGGACTGGAAATGTTCATCTACTGAACAGTAGATAATACATATTGAAAACAGTCAGTTGTTTACATGCTAAACACACTGGGGGTATCCTGTAATGTTTACATTAAAGCAGTGCAATCTGTACTTTTAGATAACAGAGCTGTCCAGGCTATAAAGAGCTCTAATGGAAAGAAAATGTAACAGACCTACATCTAATTCTAAGAGTAAAACAGTTATATATATATATCCTTGAATTTAAAAATTATTAAAATCTAATTCTGCAGAACTGACTGTTGCTTCTGTTTTGTTTCTGTGTTTAGAACATTTCCCAAAGTCATGTGCATCACTGTCATCCCAACACCTCTATGGTCATGAGGTCTGTGGTCAACATGAGCAACCCCTCTGCAGGAATGATGTCACGTAATCAGCTGACTACTATCAACCAGTCGCAGCTCAGCGCACAGCTGGGCTTGAACTTGGGTGGCCCCAATATGCCACATACCTCCCCCTCACCCCCTGCCAGCAAGTCGGCCACGCCCTCCCCTTCCAGCTCCATCAATGAGGAGGACCCCGAGGAAGGAAACAGGGTGAGAGACAAATCCGTACCTCCCAGCCAGTGCGAAACACTCTTCCAGCACATCTCAGGTCAAAGATCTTCGACTGCTCTTGTGCAATAAGTCCTAAAGTCAACCTGGAGCTTGACCAGTGGTTTATGTGTGCGCAGAAGAATCTTAAAGTCCACTCTACATTTCTCAGAGAGCCAGTGCAATTTACCCAAGCATTTTTTGTTTGCTAAAATTATTCTGCAGGACTCGGGATCTGAGTACTGAGTGTTCAGATCCTTAGAAGATACTCTAGTAGGAAAGAAGGCCTGAGCCGGCAGATGAGAAAGATCTGGGAGAAATTAATCGTTTTGTGCCTTTTAAAAGGCACGTAATTGACAGTTGCTCTCCATCACGCTTCTGAAGTCATTTTGCGCCACTCACAAATGTTTTGCACATGACCTGTTTATTTTCACCTGTTGTCTGTTGGCTTGAAACCACCTTTTGTTCTTCATAATATGAAAGCATTTTATATTCAATACAATATGAATACATGATTAAATATGCATATGCATTTTGCATTTTTTTCCACAATATTTCATAAGTCCAGCATGCAGTAGTGCACATTTATCTTAACTTCTGGGTTTCAGTGTAGTTTGTTACCTTGTGATCTTGCAATTTAATTCATCGCTTAATTCGTAATTGCAAGTTTGAACCCCCATAACAGATCGACAAACAGATGTATTTATATTATATATTTTATATGATATATATTTGAAAAATGTTGCCCTGTACGCAGAGAAACTGGAACACTGACTGAGAAGAGCAGAATTGAAGCTTTAGTGTTTTTGATTTTGCTGACCTTCTGAATCTGCGCTGTAGGCGATTGGAGAGAAGCGTCCTGCCCCGGACACTGGGAAGAAGCCCAAGACCCCCAAGAAGAAGAAAAAGAAGGACCCCAATGAGCCCCAGAAGCCTGTCTCAGCTTACGCTCTGTTCTTCAGAGACACCCAAGCAGCCATCAAGGGCCAGAACCCCAGTGCTACGTTTGGGGAGGTCTCGAAGATCGTGGCCTCCATGTGGGACAGCCTGGGGGAGGAGCAGAAGCAGGTACCACACCCCCACACCTGTACAGACTGCAGGACGCCTGTTTCAGACATCAGTACAGTCCATCCATCCATAAATCGTCTGGCCATTCCTGTATTATGACTACAATATATGGCATGTAGATAATGATAAGCATGTGGATTTTGTTTTTCACAATAAGAACTCAAAGAAGTACTCTTCTGTTCTTTAATTTCCCTTTTTTTTGTGTCCCACAGGTCTATAAAAGCAAAACCGAAGCCGCCAAAAAAGAATATTTAAAAGCCCTCGCTGCCTATCGAGCCAGTTTGGTTTCAAAGGTGAGATATGCCAATATTCAGTTACCTTTTGCCCTAATGAGCCATCACTAATAAGCCTTTTAAAATGTTAAAAGCTACAGCAATAAAAACAGACCCTTGGCCTGTAATTAATGCATATCATATTGTGAACTATGACAGCATACAGTAGTTCACAGCTTGCTGTACAGTGTCCCTCCATTCCATTGGCTGTGCTCCAGGCTTGCATGACTTAATCTGTGCAAAGCTGCTTTCCCAGAGTACTGTGGTCTAGCAGTGGACAAAGGAAATTAGAAGACCCCTTTTTCATCCAATTGAGTGTCTGGAAGAATTTCAAAGGAGATGTGTTACATAAATATCTTATTTGGACATTTCCTTTTGATCTGAGATCTAAGATCCCAAAGTGCTTTGAATTTTGTAGCGATTCGTTGTAGACATGCACAAGAATTGCGATGGCTATAAAATATAAGAGCAAACTTCTTCATCCAAAGAAAAGGGTCAACAAATCTCTCCAGCTCTTCCTGGCAGTTTCTTTTTCTTCTAGGTTGTCCAAGTTACAATTGTTCTTTTTATATACATCTGCTTCATTAGCAAAGTTTCATTTGCATGTTTCCATAAATGATTCTATGACCAATCGGACATAAATGGGTTCTTTGGTTCTCCCCACCTGTCCACAGGCAGCTGCAGAGTCAGCTGAGGCGCAGACCATACGCTCCGTCCAGCAGACCCTGGCGTCCACCAACCTGTCCCCTTCCCTCATCTTGAACACCCCGCTGTCCCAGCACCCCTCTGTTTCTGCAGCAGCACAGGCCTTGCAGCAAGCCCTCCCTAGGGCCATCGCACCCAAACCACTGCAGATGAGGCTGTCAGGCAGCCAGATTGTCACCTCTGTTACTGTCTCTCCTCAAAACATGCCCACAAACATTCCCTCACCCCTGATCAGCCAGATAGGTGGGGGTATGGTGGGGGCGCCCCCTGCAGGAGTGGCTCAGATGAGCCCTCCCATGCAGCCTCCACAGCCACACCAGTTGCAGCACTTGCAGCAGCACCAACAGCAGCAGCAGCAGCAGCATCTTCAGCAGCAGCATCTTCAGCACCAGCAGCTGCAGCAGCAGCAGATCCACCACCAGCAGATCCAACAGCAGATGCAGCATCAACATTTCCAGCACCACCTCCAGCAGCAGCTGCAGCAGCACCAGCACCACTTGCAGCAGCAGCAGCAGCATCAGCAGCAGCAGCAGCAGCAGCAGCACCACATGCAACAGCAGCAGATGCAGTTGCAGCACATGCAGATGCAACAGCTGCATCAACAACAACTGCAGCAGCTCCAGCAGCAGCAGCAACAACAACAACAGCCACATCCACCCCAGTCTTCCCCTCCCCAGCACTCCCCAGGAACGCCGCAGTCTGTGGGAGGCTCTGTAACCTTGGGCAGTCCTCAGTCCACCTCACAGCAGCAGCACCAGTCCCAAATACAAGCTCATGCCCAGGCCCAGGTGTTATCACAAGTCAGCATCTTCTGAGCCAAAATGAATTACAAAGAGGCGGAAACTAATAAAAGCATCATCCAAGTTGCTTTTCTAAGTTGCACTTAAGAAGTGTGTAAAAATAAAGTTTTACCAAGAACTGTCCATTGTTGTTGATGGATATGCAGACATAATGGGACAAGGCACTGAAACCAATTCTGTCTATAAAATAGGCTGGGAAACAGACAATGGGCTTATGTTTGTTCTCCACTCTTTGGAATGGAGTTGGGGCACATAACTGAGAGAACTTGCTGCAATGATCACTGGGAGACTTTGTATTCTTTTCTAATGGCAAAGCTTTATTTACACTGGTGTCGGTGTCTGTTGTGCTGCGTGAAAGGACAACCACGTTGGGTTTGGAGAGTCACTGTACCATGCGTGTGTAACCTGGATCTGCCGAGAATCTTGAGGGAAGCCCTTTATAAGATGGGGATCACAAGGACATGATAACTTACAGTACTGGTAACCAGTAATGCATCCAATGAAAAAATGGATGTTTTTTTTTCTTTTCCACAGGCCAGTTCGTTGTAAAGGTTGTGTTTTTGTTTTGGTTTTTTCAACATTCCAGCAGCTTTCTCTGCGTAGTACTGGCTGTCAGAGCTCCTAGTCCTAGGCTTGTTCTTTTTCAGCTCCCCCCAAAAAAACATGAGACAATACCTTGTCATTGGCATCCAAGCTGGAGGAATTTGGAAAGAGTAATGCACATGTGCTCGAGGCAGAAGGAAGATCGGACAGATTTTAAAAACTGCCATAGACCATTCACGTCATTGTGTGTCTTTAAACTGTGATGGTAAACTACTGTAAGTTTCAAGGGGGGTGGGTGGGTATGTTGGTTGGGAAATCTGAAGCTCATTCACTCTAAGCCCAGAAACAGCACTCCAAATGGATCACCGTTTTAATGTATTTGTCTTTTGTTACCTCAGACTTTTAACGCTATCCTAAATTATGTTTATTTTTTTCAATTTTGTGTAAAAAAATGCAAATATTTTATGGTAATTGTAACTCACAGGTTCTAGTTCAATGGTCTCATGATCAGTGTATTTTTAAAACCGTATGGTCAGTACCATGTACTTATTGAAAGGAAAATGAAGACCTGTAGCAAAACCGTTTTGTTGCACTGTAAAAGCCACTTGAATAGGCGTGGAAATATTTAGTGCCAGCTGTAAAGAATTCCTTTAAGAATAAAAAGAAAAAAAGATGTACATTTTTTTTCGTATCACATGTTGTAAAGTTTTCATATGTGAAGCTTTAATATTCACATTGGTAACATGAACTGTGGATTACAACATCGCATAGTGCATTTACTGCTGTTTTATACTTTTTTATGAGTTACAATAGCAGCAATTAATTTGTTTGTATTTTGCTTAACAGAAAAAAAGAGAACTGCTTTTTTATCTTGCTATAGAATAAATACATTTCAGTAAAAAAACCCAAGTGTTTTTGAACTCTTACTAGGCAAATTTATTCTTGCTTATTTACAATGTAATATAGAGACCTTCCAGAACTGATATAATATGAATTGAGCCATAAAGTTTGTCAAATGCCAAGTATGCTTAATATTTCCTTTCGTGATCTTTGAGGTGTACTTGTTTGGGATTAAAATGGTAGGATAAAATTCCCCCCAAAAACCATACATTTAGTAACCCGTGACTTTCCAGTGTTCTGGTAACATGAGAGAATCTGAAGAGAAGATGTACAGTACATTTTCTTTTCATACAATAAACTTGTCAGGGAAACTGAACTCTAGGTGCTAAACAACATTATTGTTGCTACATTAAAATCTTTGTTTAATTTAGTCGCTATTCCTAAATCTCTGCTCGGGCAGTATTGAGCATTGTGGAGCCCACAGCCTAAATGGCATTGTTTAATTTGCCTTTTTTTTTTGTTTCCAAGATGTTCTCCAAATCGGTCTGCTCTCTCTGAAAAGGTGTAGAGGGAAGGGAAGGAGAGGCACACTGATGCCCATAAAACCACAAGACATATGTCACGCAGCTGCTTGGTTTCTCGTGTCTTGTTGCACGACTTGATTTGAACACTGTTTAAAATAAAAGTGAACACTGCCCTGGTGTATTTTGGAAATACCTGTAGGATAAAGTGTTTTAATATTTTTTTATTTTGAAATTTGGTGACGAGACCGTAATGATTCTCTGAATTCAGTAGAGTTGCAATTCCCTTCTCCCCTGCATGATTAATTACAGCATCTGTCCTGTCAAAAGCTATAGTGAAGAGGTCTGGAGAAAAACTGCAAATACGCTCTGGCAACAATCTTAAACCGCTTATGATAAAATGAAAATTAAAAGCAGCGAGTGTTGTACATGACCTGAATCTTAATAGAGGGTATGGGAGAATGTTAAAGTAGGTGTCCATGACTACCAAAACACGAGACTTAAAAACACACAATAATGAGGCTCTGGGAAATGGCATTTATTATTCTGAACAGATTTATGTTGAAGGGTATTAATAATGCATGCTGCTTTTGTTATTCCATAACCCTTTAGCATTGTGTTCACTGTGTACAAATATTTCACAGCAAGGGTTGTATTTTTGGGACTGTTCAATAAAACCAAGTTACAAATGTGTTTTTAAAAGCATTTTTATATGAGCCCTCTGTGTAAAACGAATAGAACCAAAACATTTCTAGCTTCTCTATAAAACGGGAGGAGGAGACCAGATCCTGCAGTTGACCGAAAAAGATTTGCGTTTTTGATTTGCTTTCTCCTATTTTTTCTCTAATTAAAGGAAACAATCTTTGTAACCCATTTAAAACTGACAACACTTCTCCTGGGGTTAAAATAATTGGTGTGACTTAAAAAAAAACATGCCATCAGGGCTATTAGAAGACTAGATGCAATAAATTATCCAGCGTAATTTGAATGAAAATAGTGCCATGATCTCAAGAACACAATAGATACACTCGGAGTCGTTTTCATATGGTTTAAATGACTTCACACAGCAACGTAACCTTTTTCATTGTTTCATTTAATGAACTTTTTTGTTTCCTTTCTAAATCATTGGCGAAACATCCAGAGAAGGCCAGGGGAGAGCAGGAAGAGGCTGGCTGGAGAAGTGTCTTTTTTTCCCCCGATTTAACATGGTGCTGTGTTCCTCTCTCTCAGTGCACACATACAATGGTGCTGGAACAATACCCCGCTGCTGCTGACCCGGAGAGTGGGGGCTTGAGTCTGCAGCCCGGCTTCTCCCCCACAGCCCCTCTCTGAAAAACGAGCCCGCCTTGCCAGTCTGTAATTAATGCTTGTCCCCTGCTCTGCGCACGCAGACTGAACCCACGGCTCTAACGCCTGCTCTTTCTCGTAGCTGGTGGAAGATTGCTGGCGGCATTTCAATTCGATGTTCGAATAAATTGCATTTGTATAGAAAAGGACGATCTGATCAGGTCAGAATGGTTATACTCGCCGTAAATAAAAAAGACACGTCTTAAATTCTGTTATTATAATGCTTGTAATCTCTTAATCTCTCCAATGCTCCTTATCAAGACATTAAATGATGTGGATTGTGTACCAAAGTGAAAATAACCAAGAGCGACAGGCTGTGAATTTCCAGTCTTAACTGGAGGCTTTGTCGCATGACATTTAGCCAATTATTATACGCAGAAGTACTGTTCTTTAATGTTTGCTGTAAACAGGTTTGCCTTTTTTTCTTTGCAAAAACGCAGCAGTGTTCTAAATAATTATGTTTACGTGCCATGAGGCTGCCCCAATAGGTTCAATCCAGGAAGAAACCAGCCGCTGTATGGGGATTACAAACCTACCAGCCTCTCGTGTGGCACACTATCACATGTTCCCTGCCTTAAGGAGAAGATGGCCGCTGCCATCACTGTCTTAACAGGCTGAAAGATTCATAGACGTTTTGGGATGCATTAGAACATTATCCTTCAATTCTTTCTTCCTTTGCAAGTATAGAACTCAATACCACCATGCTCAAGTCATGCCCCATGCTCAAGGGGTAGGCCAGATGTGCAGAGTGGAAACCCAATGTTCCATTTTGTACTAGTCAAAAGGAAGGCGCTCAGGGGATGTGGCTGGAGTATGTGGACTGGAAATGAAAAGTAAATTACATTTAGTCATGTGCAACAAAAAGTATGGCACTGCTCACAACATAAGGATATAAGAGAGGTTAGAAGGAGGAGGATGTTCAGTTCAGCGGTTTTGTTTAGTTGCTAGATGTTTAGTGTTAGACATTGCTTCCACAATCTAATACATTATGCAAAAGACCTGGTCTCCCTCCTTTTATCGTTTTCCTCTTTGGGGGATTTTTAAAAGGTCTAGAAGCGAAGACGTGGTGCAGGGGGAAGGCAAGTACAGGGTTAGGGAGTGTTGGAGTACTGAACAGGACTGTTCTTGGTGAAAAAAAAAGTGACGGTTTGATCTTTTCTCAATGGAGGGGTGGGAAAATGGTTAAACCAATAAAATAAACAAGCCTTAAAAAAGCCAAAGCTGTTTTGTGATTGCATTATGTCTATCCTAAATTTACACTAAATTGCTGATTTACCTGTGCATCTTTTGCAATCATGGCCGATAGGATGTGGTCACAATAAGGAAGTGAAAGGTTTGGCAAAAATCAGTGTTGTTTCTTGTTTTTTTGAAAGCAATAACAGCCAGAACTGTGGTAATGACCCCATTATAGCTTTGAAGATCTGATTGGGTCACATTTGTTTTTCAAAACTGCAAAAAGGCTAAAGTTCTCTTAAGTAAAAGATGTTGAATCTAATTGGCTGATGTAGTCACCTGTATGATGTTGAAAAACCTTATTGGTCCAATCACCTGCACTTGACCTTTTACATGTATTTAACTGGAGCAGTTGTACATATAATCACAAAGCATCATGGGATTGCTACCTCAAATACTTGAAAGGATCAGCCACAGAAAACATTAGCTGTGACTGAAAAAAAAAAACAAGATTCTGCAACAGATTTTTACATTAAGTAAAATCTGTTCCAGAACAGAGTGTAGTCAGATTTAAACTGAGGTCATCTTCAATAAAATCGAGCTGATCTCCTTTGAACACAACTCCAAAACAAAATGGCTGACACTGTTACAGCTGCTCTGGATCCAGTAGAAACAACAAAACAGAAACTACAAGCCTGTTAAACTCCAAGCCCCCTCTGGCTCGTGTGGATGTAGCAGACCTTGAAACCTGCAAGACGAAAGGAAGTACACAAGGTAGCTGGGAGGAGAGGCCATGGAGGAGCTCTGACCTGTGAAAAATGGGAAACTGATCTTCACTGAGTCTCACCTGCCCGTGAGTATCGGGGCTTATCTCTGGGACCTCATTGTAAGGCTGTTGTACCATGTTATGATGTAGAAAATTGTTATGTAGTATCCATAGTGTGCTTGGGCATTCCTCTAGCTACAGATACTTTTGCTAACATCACCTTGTACAGTTCTCTACATCTTTAGTGTATTTTCTAAAATCAAGCCTCTAATCCAGCTGCATGCCCGCTTTAGTGTTTTTGTGACAGTGATGTGTTGTGGCAGTGCCCCCCAGTTCACTGAAACAAAGGTTGAGCTAATCCTCTTCACTCTCTAAGCACAATTCTTGTGAACGGAAGAGTCTTTTTTTCTGTGCTACTGACCCCAGAGTCTTGACTACGAAATGGGATCTGTACCCCGTGAGTCCTGCAAGGATTAATAAAGGAGAAGGGTTCTTTGTCCAAGGGTAGATATGGATGTATAAATAAAGGTACTGTACATAAGCAGAAATTTTGAAAAGCTTATTCTACTTTTATAGGTTATGCTGTGAAGTATGACTCTATTATGTAACAGGAAAGTTCTAATTATAACAACCATAAAGATCAACATAATTTTTTTGTTTTCCAAAGACCAGCCACAGTCATGCTTAATTCCATGAAATGAAAAAAGACAAGTGCACCTAGATGTTGTGTCTGTCCTAGAAGGGAACACATCTGTGAAGTCTATATATATATATCAGGAGAGTCGGTTGGCGGGATAAATTCATCAGCCAGTAAAATCCATTTCAGCACACAGCAAAGCGTAAAAGGTCAATCAGCTCAATTCTTTAAAGAAGACAGGTGGCATGAAGAAATGACAAAGTGAGCTAGATGTACATTGAAAAGATACAACTGACAGTGTCCTAAATATTTACTATACACTTATGTAGCTGCGAGGTTTGAGCTAACTTATTATTCTTCTGGTTGTTGCACTGTTAGAAATGCAGTGGTGCATGAAATGATGATGTCTAGCTGCTTAAAATGAGCTGAGGCAGCTGAGAATCAAAAGCATGCGAGGGAGTCTTTCAGCCACCCTGGTCAGCCCTCCTCCGGGTCAGCAGCCATACATTACGAGGGTTGCCTGTCAGGGGCTTGTGTCTGATGCAAATGATGCACCAAGTCGACAATAGAAGAAGAAAGAGTAACTTGAAGGTCTGTGGGCTGAACACAAAGGCTTTAACGTGACCCACTTCCCTGCAGCATTCTTCTTCCTGGATAATGGGGAAAAGGGATTAATAAGAATATCATATCACTGTCCACAACTTTTGTTATTGAGCGTAATGCCGATCAAGTAGTTCAGATGTGACTGCTTGCTTTGTGATGGGTTGGGCTCGTGGAAAATCCACGGGAGGGTTTTCAGTTTGTTTCAAATGCGCGGCTCAAGGCGGAAGCCGAGATCCATTTTCTGTTGCTTTTGCTGGGGCTGGTTTTAGAAGTAATCAAGTGAGTTCTCTCCTTACCTTAGGAGCTTTCTTTTTTTCGTTTTCACCACCGTGCTGGCCCTAGAGGGTTAAAGCGCATTACCTCGCGATCCGCCTTGGTGATACTCACTGGAAGAACGCAGGGCGTCTCTCGGGCCTTTGCCGGGTTGGTAAAAGTGCAGAATGGACGGCGATGGACGGTGCCCGGCTTCATTTTCAGTCCTCCTTTACCACCTGACCCATTGAAGTCTGAAGCCTCTTCTAGACAAATGGATTAAATATTTCACGTCTAGCTGCAGCTTGGGTGCCTAGATTGCTAAGTGCGTGCAAGCCCCCGTTGCCCACTTCACTAAATATTTTTCCACACCGGACTTGCGCCTAACCTTTCTTTACCCCCTTTTGTTTGGCTTTTCTTTCACAACAGCTGTTATCATCGGTTTTTGGTCAGCTGTGATTGCTCGAGGCAAAATAGGAGCAGATGGTGTTTTGCTATGCATGAATGGAGAGTTAGAAGAGTTTGGATTGAATAGGCCAAGTTTGAATGGTGTCTATGCAGCACCTGCCCCCTTTAGCAGCAAGAACACATCATAGTAGCATGATCTGTCTCAGTCTCCCTACAGTCAGATGGGAAAAAAGGGGAACCTTGTTGGATTTTGTCCATATTTATTGATCTTCCTCAGAGCAGTGGCATAATGCGGTACACAGTCAATTTGAGTTAATTGGATATGACACAGCATGTACATGTAATCTATCATTGTGGTCTCCTGGTACACTTTATCAGTTTTGTTGCCATAGTAACATGTGAGCTCAGTAATAACTTACATTAATAGGCTAAGTAAGTTGCAATAGAAAGCAATTTCTGAGTTGGATTTTGCAAAGGAAATAAAGCCTCACAGTAATGATGAAGGGA